GCCAGTGTCCAATCCTTCTGTAGGTGGCAGTATAACTCAAAGGGTTAAAGGCTCCCTGTGTTACTCATTGGACTCTTTAAGAGAAGGATTTTAGAGTACAAACATCCAATATGTTTGCTGTTTGGGAATAGATTACTTCATAGTGGCTGCAGCTTTAGAGCTTGTTTTATGGCTTATTTACTTCTTAAAATACTGCAAGAAACAGAGGCACTGCTGATGATGAAACATTTGGTATATTAAGCTTTCTCTGTATACTCTAAGCATAGTATGGATTTATTTAAATGTTCTATGTGTTGGCAGCAATTTTTAATTCTTGTATCAAGTTTTTAGATACGCTACACATGGTGTTTGAGTAAGAATCTGTATCAAAAATATCTCTACCAGACTCTACATTGGTGAATTAACATGTTTTCTGTTCTTAGGTGCTTCTTACAAAGAGAAGAAAGATGCAGAGTCCAAAAATTCTGAGGTAGGTCTCTTATACAGATTTATGTAATGGGGGTTCTACCATGTAGATGGATGGACCTTAAACAAGATACCATCTTTATTTACTTCTCCATGGTGCTCAGTACCTTTCCATACTTTTTAATCATTAGCTGTACTTGGACTGCATCTGTGGTGTGGAGCACAGCTATGGTCACTATACTTGTAGGAAGGATATAAGATTTAACTATATCATATAAGAATACTCTTTTACTGTGAGGGTGGTTAAGCTGTAGAATACCTAACCGCAAAAGATTCCTGCATAGTGGAAACTTATTCAAAGGTCCAGTTTTTAGAAACTGAAAAAAATCTTTCTAAAGACCACATTTTCGGACCAGAGATGCATTGAAACCATCTTGACATTTTCTAGGTTACAGATTCAGAAAGAAGTCCTGAAGCCGTACCACGGAGAGGAAGAAAAAAGAGACGTTCTTCTGAGAATGGTAATAATTACTAAACATTTAAAAGCAAACATTCTGCACTGCTGCTTTTATTGCTGATTACAATCCCCGCTTCCATCTCCCTTCCAGCAGCTTTACAAGCGATTTAAGATATACAATCATAAAGCCTGACAAAAATCTAACATCGATAAGCCCTGATACTGGCCAGATACTTGTCAATCGTTCCATCCTCTTTCAGCCACGCCAATCTGCCTCCCGAGGCTTCATTTGTTTCCCTGTTTTCAAGGGATGAATGATATTGCCTTAGAAATTGATCAAAACCACTCCAATCAGAAGGCTTAGCCTGTGAATTTCATTGCCAGCTTTTATTATTGGTAACTCAAAACATGGGGATGAGTGTAAGCGTGGTTGGCAGATTGCTTAACTACAAACGCATGTATTTTTTAGAAATCTGTATTTGTATATAGTGGTTTAAGTCGAATTTTGTAATGCATTGCAGTTTGCTTTTGGTGCATTTTTAACAGACATTTTATTTGAGATTTTCAGGAGGATGGCCATCAAAATGCACATAAATGCATTCGTAGTGCACTTTACATGCAGCCCTGTTGCTTCCTATTGGAAGTTCGCTTTTTAAAAAGACTCAGGTCTGCCCCACAGAAAAACGCATGTGAAAAGTCTACTGTTGAAATTACCACCAAAAAGTGAAATCCGGCCAGGCGTGAGAACATCAATGAATGCAGTTATGTGTTGTGTATGTAAAAAAATAACCATTAATGCAACTAGTCTACATACCAAACTTCGATTTTGTATCCATCTCTTGTAGTCCTGTGTATATTAGAACATGGGCTGGTAGAAAGAAGATCAGGACTGTGTGTCAGGTCTGCTGCATGCATGTGTGCAGGCAGTAGCTGTGTGCAAGGGGGTTGAGCTAAACAGTATGCTGCAGCTCCATCACTTTCCAATCTCAGGCTGAAGGTGGGGAAGTGACCTATCCGTATTGCATAACTGCAGTAGGGAAACACAAGTCATTAGCCTGTTGTTGCTGTCTGGCAATATCTAAATCTGAGAACTGACTGGACAGAGATGGCGATCTTTTGGCAGGCAAGCCAGCTTCCAAGTATTTGCTTTTGTAGCTGTTAGCCTGAAGTTCAGGTTTGAGTGGAAGTTGCAGTATATAAGAAAAATGGGGTGCAGTCATCCACAACTGCAGATCCCCTACTTTTTCTTGTGTATATGCTTTCTTCTTAGTGATGCATATTAATACACTGTAATATTGATGATCGAAAAGGGAGACAATTTGCGAACTTCTGCTTATTTGATTTGATCTGATCTGCGGAGAATCTACCACTCTGGAATCTAGACCATTATGAATTTTAAGATTCTCCACAAATTAGAGAATGTTGCAGGTGTATGTTCAGGTGAATAAAAATGATTAGAGTATGCCTCTTGTCCTGATTTGAGAGTCGATTCAGTCACACGTTACTCTGGGTGATAAACCGTAATGATTATCACCCAGAGTAATGTGTCTGATGTACTTCTGTGTGACTGTCATTGCAGAAGGCTCAGAGTCAGAGAAAAAGCGTAAGAGGACAGACAGTACTGAGGAGGCTGAAGAAGAGGAAGATCAGGAGGATAGTGAGAGCGATGAAGATAGCCCTAGAGGAGCAACAACAAGGGCTGCCTCCCGCCTGGAAGCCCAAAGGTAAAGAACATGGATGATGGCTTGCAGCTTACAGGCCACTAGAGCATTTTGTTTTATGGTTTTGCCCTTTAACTCCACATCACTTAAAGGAAACCTTTCCTCAGAGTAGTAGCCATTGTTGACCTTCTTCTGAAAATAATCGATCCTTCGTTATACTGACCCTTCAATGCACTAACCAGGAAAAAGTGTACAGGAAAATCAAAGTCTTTATCAGCATACTTGTCCTTAGTGACTCGGAAGTATTGACGCAGTAGGGTTGCCGATATGTAACATGGATCTGCAAGTGCAGGTTTCTTGTTTCCTTCAGATGTGTACAGCAGTGACCGCTTAGTGTTATTAAACAAGTGATCTTGCTTCTCTGCCCAGTCTTTATATTGGGGCAGTAAAGCGTATAGGCTATGTCGGTCTTGCAGAAAAGTAATAAAGGCAGTAACATTGATCTCATGATCAGTGTGCATTTACTACTTTATTTTTATTTTTTTGCTTTGAAGCCTCCTGAGCATTGCACCCACAATCAGAGCGTCATGGGTGCATTGCAAAGGCTCTTGCAATGCTTTCCCTTAGAAGGTGTGAATTAACTGGAGGGGGGGGGGGGGG